GCAGATTCTGCAGCCAGACTGTCTGGGTTCAAATGCTATCTTTGATACTTATGAGTTGAATGATATTCATCAAATTAATCTTTCTGCAGTTTCCTCACCTACAAAATGAAATAATAGTACCTACCTGATAGAATTATAAGGTTTAAGTGAGTTACTAAGAGTGCTTAGGGTAGTGCTTGGCACATGGTAAGGTACTTATTAAGTTTGTAGTTATTTTGTTTCCCTTTTTAACCCAATTTTTAGGGGCCCCAGGGCAGGAAACTGGGGTCACAAATCAGGATCAGGACTCTCATATGGGACAGAACAGGGGTGCTTCTGCTCGAGCTTGGGCCCCTTAGTAAAAGTGAAGACCACCCATCCATCCAGACCACGGCTAATTTTAGTTCTTCCCATCCTCTGAACATAGTGTTGATTGTGTACGATTTACACGTGTGTAACCTCAGACATACCATTTTCCTTTCTTTTCTGAGATACCTATCTCATAAGAGGCAGGACGATACCTTTCCAGGTGAAACTGAATGGATCAGATTGGAATCCTTAAGCTTTATGGCCCTAACCTCTCTTTTCTCCCTCTCCAAGTGATAACCTTATCCTTACAAACTGATTTCACTCTATCAGTTATCTCCTTTCCCTTCTATATAATCTTCTCTTTGTTAGTCCTTTCCACAAGCACATAAAACATATTTGAGTCTCTACTCTATTGTCAATATGAAATCACCAATCCTCCACTACTGCCCTCATATTTTTCACAGCCAAGCCTCTTGAAAGGGCTATCTGCATTTACCCATTCCACTTCCTCATCCCCCCATTTATACCCTTCCTAGTCCAGGATGGCTTTCATGCCCACTCCTCCAATGAAACTACTCACCTCTGCCCCCACCCCCCAACTCAGAGCAGCAACTGACCACACCCACCTTCACGGAATACTTCTAAATTTCCCAGACAAGACGCTTTTCTGGTTTCTTGCTACCTTTGGCTGTTCTATTGAAACTCTTCTTAGGTACCCTGTTGATACGGTGTGGACTCCACACCTGATGTCTTGGTTATTTCCAATCACTTCCCTGAAGCCTCCATTTTCACCTCATGTCCAACATGTCCATATTGGAGTATCACAATTGCCTCCTTTTTTGGCTTCTCATCCTGAGCCATCTGCAGCCACCTACACTAAGAAGTAAGGTCAACCCGGGCACAGTGGCTCCCGAGCCTGTAATCCTAGCATTTTGGAAGGCCGGCTCGGTGCCTATAGCTCAACTGGCTAAGGCGCCAGCCACGTACACCTAAGGTGGCGGGTTCGAATCCCCAGCCCGGACCCGCCAAACAACAATGAC